AAATATTTAATAAATTATATTAATATATTATTAAATTATTAGGTACTTAAAATGCTCTTTGTATATCTGATAAATTTCATGTGGTGTTGGGTACTCTTTCAAGTAGTCGTACTTTATAGATATTTTAAAACAGGAGATAATGAGGTAATGTTTTTTTTTTTTTTTTAAATATAATTTAGAATATTTAAAAATATCATTTAAATTTATTATTATTTTTTCTATAATTTTAGCTTCCAAAATGGTATAAACATGTCTATTTTTGCGCTCATCTTCTCAGTTACGGTCATAGCGCTATTAATCCAATAGTATATCAAGCAAGTAATGAAAACTTTCGTAAAGCAGCACGTTTGACATTTCCTTGCCTTTTTCGAACAAATCGTATTGTTCCTAACGTTAATAATAATAATAATAATAATAATAATCAAATGCAACAACGTATTGAAGTTGCAGCAAATTGTAACGGAATTCAAAATGATAAAGTAAAATAGTGATCAACCATTAAAAAAATATGTACAGTACATTTAGTTTATTTATAAAATTATCTTTGCTTTTGTAGATATATAAAACTGTAAATAAAAATTCAGTACAACTATTAAAGAAAATATATTTGAAATTTAATAATATGAAATAATACATTTTGTATAATCAAATCACAGATTTTAATAATAAACTGTACACGCGAAAAAGAAATTCCATTTTTCAATATTAATAAATGGAATTTTTTTAAAATAATTTTATCGGTTAAATTTTTATTGATTTTAACCAATTTCTAATCTCATCCGAATGTAATTTTACCCATTTGATGTTATTTTCGACGTTTTCTAAAGTCTGCTGCCGGCTACTTTTACCAGCTCCTGCATCGGGATATTTTTGGAAGAAGTCTTTCATCTGAAAGATTTATAATAATAATAATAATAAAAGGGTATTTTAGTTTACTAATTACACACACAACGTTTTTTTCTATGTTAGAAAAACGTTCACCTCTCTTAAATGAAACTCGTCTTGAAAGGGTTTGCATATCGTAATCGATCTTCCTAAATATCTACTGTGAAGTGTGTATCTATGGGGAAAAATATATATATATATTAAAATCCAAAATAATCAATTATACAAAATTATTTCGTACCTTTCTACTAGATAAGGCCATTTGCTACGTATAAAATCCCATACGAGAGGTCTTCCTATGTCATTCCAGCTTATATACTTTAAAACGTGGAAGAAGTCTTGTCTTTTGACTTTTGATTCGTTCATTGCATAATTCAAAAATCTATAAAAAGAAAATAAATTAGTTTAGATTATTTATTAATTATTAACGAGATTACGGCCGAAGTTTTCATCTCTTAAACGTGAACGTCGAACGTCGAGCACCGCTTACAAGATAACGGCTCTCGACGTTCGACGTTCACGTTTAAGCGGCGCTCGACGTTCGACGTTCACGTTTAAGAGACGAAAACTTCGACCGTAACTTCGTTATTAAATAATTATAATATATTTTATTTCCATTATACCTCTGTAATAAATGTGGATATCGAACTTGAGATAAACCAAGAAGAAGTAAAGTACGTTCCTGAGACGAGCTCTCATTTTGATATCTTTGCCACATTTCGTTCCAATATTCATCATTTCCTATCTGTGACATGCCGTAAAAGTAAACCAATTCTTTGACATTTTTAGGAATTTCTCTATAAAATATTTAATTTAAAACGTAGTTTTAATGTTAATTTTAAAAAAAATGATACCAAAATTTACTTACTCTCTTCTCTCGAACCAATTCTTAAGTCTTTGATACGCGTTTTCTAAACAGTCGGGATAATCAATTTCGCATGCAAATTTTAATACCACTTCGCGTATACGACTAAAATTAATGAATATTTTCTTTTATTCTAAATAATTTTAAATATTTTAATACTTTATAAAACAAAAATAATACTTTTCTAAATGATTATCTCCTTGATTCCATCCTACTTGATTATAAATCGGGATTACGAACCGCTGTAAAAATTTCTGTAATGGAAAATACATGAGTAAAATCTTGATTTAGGCCTATATTGAATGCCCTGAAATTAAAACGTTCCAGTATCTTTCCGGGAGAACCCATTTTGTTTCAGATTTTATCCTCAAATACCTGGCTTCAATGCAACTTAGAGCTTTATACCTCTGATCAATTACTATTGATCACAGATATAACGGATCAAAACGAGCCAAAATAGTAATTTTGGCTCGTTTTGACGCTTCGTTCTGCATTAATTTAAGGGCATTCAAACGCATTAAGACACACGAAATAGTTTATTAATATTAGAGAGTTTACTTACTTTAAATGGGTAATAAGAATCGGTAGGTTTAAGTAAATTTAATACATTTTTTAAGGCTTTGGTTGCCGTTTTCCACGGCGTTAACTGTGTTTCGTTTACTAAGTACTCAGAAATGCCAAAAGCCACTTCATAATCCAAATATCCAGACCAAGCTAGTTGAAATGAATCAAATAATAAATTTGATCTATCAGAAGGCGAAAATGCCTACAAAATACGTTATAAAATGAAGTTAATTAGCTTTAAAATTTAATTTTAAAGCTAAAAAAAACTTATTTTATCCATAAAAACCTCAAAATCATTTCGAAGAGCTTTGAGAAGTTTATCCCATAACGAACGTTCGTAATTGACAATGAAGTACCCATATTGCTGATTATTAAATTTTATCCACGAAAACGATGAATTCAATCGAATTCTTTCTAAAATATTTAAAGATTTGTATATATAATAATTATACCAGAATATAAATATTTAAATATATAAAGCAGAAATTACTTTCTGATTTGTCGTGAAGCCACACCAAACCCGTTTCGTTAGATGAAGACGTGTAACTTAAAGGTATGCTCCAAACAGTATCGCTGGAATAAAATATATCGATGAAAATAATTTAATTTACTTAAATATTTATACATTTATAACTTACCTTTCTTGACTTTTTTCTCCAGGATTTCTCGAAAATACTTTCTGGCTTGCAATCAGGGAATTTGAATCGGTATCTGTCTTAATTGTTACCATAGGAAATCCCTTTTGTCTTGTCCACGTATCCATAATTTGTGCAATACTTTTATCCGTCTTAAATTCATAAATTTAATTTAAAATTTAAAAATCGAATTTCATTAATAACAATATTTCTTACAAAATTTATTTNTATTTTATTATAACCGCATTATGTATTTTATTATAAATTTCTATACACGTGAAAAACAATGATAAGATTGCTATTATATATTCGAATATAAATTCGTATACGCATATTCCCAATGGAAACACAGCTTCTTTATCATCAATTGTCATCGCACGCCACTGCTACCTGGTCGCCTGCAATGAATCTGAGCCGATCACCAAGGCAGTACATTACTGCATGGCTATCTTGGCAACATTTCTGGGGTGTACCGCTCACAATGCAGTTGATAATACAATATAATAACATTTTCGCAATCTCTTCTTTCAAGCGACGGTGGTATAGTGGTTAGCATAGCTGCCTTCCAAGCAGTTGACCCGGGTTCGATTCCCGGCCGTCGCAGTATAATTTTAATAATACCGTTTTGTTCGATTTATCTTTATGCTTAAAATCTACAATATAGGTTATTATAGATTTTAAGGATAAGAAATAAAACTACTGCTTATAAAACACAATATATTATAGTAACGATAAATTTCAACCCATAACTTACAACGGGACAAGACAAATTTCAGCATTAAATAACTCCTCTAGGCAGTATGTTTAATTGTTTATTCGCATTGAAGGATAGAAATGACAATATTTTCGTTCTTTAAATATGATACAGGCCTATACAGTAGTTTATTGTTTAATTAAACCCCTACAAAATGGGTTCGCGGTTGTACTCTGCAGAAGGCAGAATTACTTTTTACTAGAACCGAAAGTTGGTGATCTGTCGCATTGTTTATTGTGGCTCGGTTCTTTATTACGTAAAGGGATAGGAGGAAAGTCTATCTAGAGCTTTAAAACAGTCAACATGGTCGCGTGTTCCCCCACTTCCGCTTCAAACTGTGTTTATTTCGGACGTGAGAGTGTATAAATCATTGATCTTTGTACACACATCTTATCATATTACTATCTGTTTTAGACTAGAATTACTAATTAAGTAATGTACACAACGTGGTCATGTGCAAAAATAAAATATCCGGGGACTTTATATAATATGAAAGTACATGGTCCATTCGGATTAAATGACCTAGTACTTCAAAATTATCAAAAGTCTATTATATATTTAACTTTACCCGTTTATATTGATGTTTAGTTCGTATGAATATTAAAAATATAATCAAAATTTACAACAGATTAATAGTTCTATTTTATTATTATTTACTTCAATATAGGTCAATACTATTGACCTATATCATAAGGCATTACAATGAATGCAATATACAGATAAGTTATTTGTAATTACATTAAATAATATATATAAAGTAGGTTATTTTCTGTTAATATACGCTAAAACATATATATATATATATATATAAAAAGATAATTTTTGAAGCTGTAAACTG